CAGCCTTCTCTTCTCCAGGCTGAACAAGCCCAGCTCCCTCAGCCTCTCCTCGCAGGAGAGATGCTCCAGTCCCCTCCTCATCCTTGTAGCCCTCCGCTGGACTCTCTCCAGTAGCTCTTCATCTTTCTTGAACTGGGGAGCCCAGAACTGGACACAGTTACTCGTGCCAGCAAGGACTGCTGAGTTGTTGCTTTTAGGTTTTGCGTAAAGCTTTCGTCGTCTGCAGCGCGGCGTGGGATGTGGTCACTGCTAATGAGTGCTGAGCTGCCGCCTCCGAGCTGGGCTGCGGGCTCGCGGCCGGGGCTCCCAGGCCACGCGAGCGCGGGTCGGCCTTTCAGCTCTCCGGGTTTTATATTTCATGTTCTGTAAAACATGGATGAAGATAATATGTCATGAAGGCTGCTGAGGATTTGTTTTCGTTCGCGAACAGTCTGATAGCTACAGAAAGGGCAAATTTACAGCGTGGGTGAGAGGGAGCTTCCCGGCTCTGTGATTTATTCATTTTGTGTCGTAAGTCCTCGAGGAGAGCGGTGACACATTTACAGCAGGACCTGACAGAGCAGCTCAGGCCCGCGCTCGCTCCGGTGGCACGGAGTCGGGCAAGCTCAGCCGCCATTTCTGGGGGCCAAATCCTGAAAGTTATTGTGCAATTATAGGAATTCACGACTGCTGCACACTTGAGGACTCCCTGTGTGATACTGTGGACAGGTAGGTGCAAACTATTAGTAGGATGCTGGTGCTGTGAAGAGAGCTTATAGAGAACCAGATCTGTACCGCTCTCACTGGAATCACTGCCTTAATTTACTGGGTCTTGATGCCCTATAAAAGCAGGTTTTGGTCTGCAGATAGACCTGGGACGCAGTGCTGGGGAAGAGGTCACAGGAAGGAGGAGGGAGTCTTTAACATCATTTGGGTTTGACTTTTTTCCCTGAAAAGGTGGGGGATGGCAGAGCCTGATTTTCAGTTCCTGGAAGCTGGAACCGAGTGAAGGATCCCCTGAGAGCTTTCAGCAGAAGGAGGAATCTAGCCAGCGACGCACGGGAAGCGGTCTCGTTAGTTCATCCAGCTGGGAAAAATCCAAGCACGGCCTTGTCTGCCTTAGTGAGCAGAGAAAGCTTTTGCTGGAAAAAGCTCTGCTAAGAGAATTCTGTGCCTGCTGACATCATGGTGTCACTTGCTCTGTACGACTGGATGGTGTCGCTCAGCTCTGTTGTCCTTGTGCTTTTCAGCTCACCACTGCAAGCAGCCGGAGACCCCCTCCCACGCCAACGTTGGTGCTCTGGATTTGCCATCTCTGGGCTACACCTTGATCTATTCCTGTCAGAGCGGCTACTATCTCACCGGAGGATCTGAGCACCGAACCTGCAAAGCAGATGGCAGCTGGACAGGAAAGCCACCGATTTGCCTGGGTAGGAGCTCCGAGCGGTGTGTACCCCTGCACCTCTGCAGAGGGGAGCGTGGCAGCCCAGGAGGAGCAGCTACTCGCTTAGACCTGCACAGCCGCCCCGAAGCCGCGTCCTTGCACGGCTGAGCTGGGTGCGGAGACCGCAGCGGGCTCA